TCCCCTTTCTCCACATCCTCTCCAGCATGTGTTGTCACTTAAGTTTTTGATCTTAGCCATTCTGATGGCTGGAAGGTGAAATCTCAGGGTCATTTTAATTAGCGTTTCCCTGATGACCAAGGATGTTAAGCATTTTTTTAAGTGTTTCTCTGCCATTTGATGTTCTTCTATTGAGAATTCTCTGTCATCTCTGAAATAAGATGACACAGAGTGTAAGGACATTGACCACTAACTCTGATTACTGAGTTCAACCTTCAGAACCAACATGGTGGAAGGAGAGTACTGACTCCTGCAGGTTCACCTTGGAGCTACACACACACACATCATACAACACAGAAACACCACACAAATAAATAAATGTAAATATTTTGTATTTGAAAGTAATCTAGACAACAGTACAGAATTAATGAAAAATGTTAAAATTTACACAATGAATGGCAAAGCATCCAATATAGTAGACTACAAAAGGCATCAAAGGCATATGAAGAAAAGACCAAGATATAGGGTTCAAGACAAGGTCAGTAGTGGAATGTTTGCTGGCATGCTCCTGAGCCAGGATTCAATGAACAGCACTGAAAAACAAGATCATAATATTTTAATTTTTGTAAGTATATAAATTCACCTGTAAATACATATCATAACTTATTAACAATTTTAAGCAGTGGAATATATGCCTGAGCATGTAAACAAGCTGAGCCTCTGCATGTTGGGATAGGGTGACTAGACACGGTCACTCTAGGCAGCATTGTTTGTATTTTCTCAGTGAAGTAGGTAGTGTGCTACTATATGCACACATATATATGTGTGTGTGCAAACAACATCTTCAAATTTATGTCATATACTAGGAATAATGATGAACTGGGCAGTTTTTCCATGTGTACACAAAATAGAATTGGATGCTGTGATGCTGAAGTGACTTCAGCCCACGTGATGGATGATCTTACTTATGAACTTGATTGTATCAAGGATGTCAAAGAGATTCCTCAAACACCGCTCTTGGTGTGTCTGTGACATTTCTAGACATGACTCAGATATACAGTCTCTGACTTAGTTAATGATTTAAGCTATGAGTACTTTCAAACTTTTAATAGATTGTTAAGAGAGTTACAGGCTGGGTCGGAGAAAGCAGTCATGGGATTGTTGCCGTGGAAGCTCTACCCTGTCCTGGTCCCTTTCTACTATTCTCAGGTATGTGTACATGTCCTGATGTGGATAGCTCTGCTCCCCTACATCCTCCCACAGCGATGGGAACCTCTGGAACCACAAACCAAAACAGATCATTGCTCTATTTTACCGTTTCACTCAGATCACAGTAGTGATAAAGCACATAGCATATGTCTTCCAGTCAATGAATAAGAATGAAGATAGATATTAGAACTAATGTTCGCTAGCGACCTCGGCAGAAGAGGCACCACTCATCTGAAAGTTCATAAAGGGTTGGTATGAGGTCATATTCACTAGTTAAAACCAGTGTTGATAAAGGTAACAGAGAAAAGAATAGTGAAAAGTGTGGTTAACTGTCACTTAGTGATGGAAGGATGAAGGACGGAAAAGAAGGAAACAAGAATCTGAAAAGGCGCAGCACTGGAGGGAGTGGGAAGCAGAGGGCATCTCTCTATCGCCAAGCAGAGGGCGTCTCTCTATCCACAGCTGAATTGCCAAAAGCTGATGCTGATTCTGGACAGGTTTCAGGGCTTGGGTGATACAAGGAATAGATGTCCCAGTGTCATGAGGTTATGAGAGCACAGGGAAGGTGTCAGGACTCACCTGCAGCAGGACTGGGCAAGAATGTATTTAGCCACTAAAACACATTACAGAGCGGTTCGTTATGGCAACATGTAAAATCCAATGTTACATTATGAAAGTTGAAAGTCTTATTTAAACAGAAGGAAGAACAATCCTGCATCCCAAACCAGATATCATAACCTGTACAAGAAGAAAAGCAAGGAGCAAACATGAATATTTGTGAAATCAGAATCTCAGTAAATTAGGAGAGTCAGACTCCCCAGTGTAACATATGCTAGCCACACTGAAGAGACAGACAGCATTCACCATCAGTCCACCTGTAATCTGGCCTGGAGGCATGCCTCCCGTCTTCACAGCTGCTGAGTGGAAATTTACTGTTCAAGTCCTCATACCCTTCAATATACCTCCCAAGAAAGCTCCTAAAGACCATGCAGAGACCCCTATCAAAACAATTCCTTCATCTGGCCAAGAAGAGAAGACAGACAGAATCAAGTGCAAAGGAACCATCTCCTGAGTTTACACAGAAACACAGCCCCTGACACTTTCTGCTTTGTCCCCAGGAGTGTGCAAAAAGGGCTACTTCATTCCTCAGTAGCAAACAAGATCACCTCAAGATATTCCAGGCTTGACTCACCTTTAGAAGCAACCAGTATGCCACATTCCTGGCCATCCACAGTCTCACAGGTGGAATTTCTTTTCTCACAAACCCCATCAGAGTTTAACATGTCACACCGCAAACATGTGAGAGCTGAAAAGGCAAAACCAAGGATAAGAGGTTCCTTCAGAGCTAGCTTCAAGCCGGACCTGAGTCTGTGGCTATAATCAATGAATAAGAAACAATGATAAAGGAAAGAGCTGGATGTACTCTAAGCTGAACCCTACAGAATGGCCCATGAACTTTGAACCTAAGAAGAGATTTGAGAAGAGCCAGGCTCCCCATTTCAAGTCCTGTGACTGGGCCAGGCTGTAAGGAGGAAGATCAAAGTTCTGGTGTAGGGAGCTTGAGCCTACCACCTATGACCACACAAATGTTCCCCATCACCTCTTTATCTTCATCCTGTGAAGGCCCTTCCTGCTTCATTTCCAAATCCGTTTTAGGCCTGTGCATGGGTAAGCTGGAGGAATTGAGAACATTAGTTCCTTAAGAACTGAGCAGAAGAACTGAAAGGCCAGGACAAAGAACACCAGGACCAAAGCAGTGACAAAGAAGAGAGAGGAGAAATGGAAGCAGTCCCTCCTGTATACAACAGAGCAGGTAAGGAAGAAAATGTGAGGACATGGAGATGAAGGGTGTGGCATCACTTATAAAAGCAGTCCAGTCTTGTATCCTGTTCCTCACTACTCACAACCCAATACCCTTCAACAGACTGGCTGCCCAACAGCACCAGCCCCTACCATCTGCCAGGATCTCACCTTGCAGGAAGCCCACCACAAAGGAGAGGCCCAGCAGGAGCAGCAGAAGATTCTTCCCCATTGAAGCAGGATTTCAGGCAAAGAGAACAGCAGAGAGCAGGAGAGCGCACTCAAGGCCTCAATAATGCATACTTATATATGAGCTCAGGCTAGACAGGGAAGCCAATGGGATCTCAAGCCGGTGGACGGAGCTGATAGCCTGAGGGAAGCACAGATCCTACGTGCTTAATTTAACTATGTCTGCAGACCTCTATGTCACTGTGGTTCAACTACAGTGACATAGATTAGATTCTTGGTCACTAACTTTTGAATGGGGATTAATAGCTGTGATTTGAAGAAATTTTGGGACTGAATGGCTAATGAACCCCAAGGGTTCTACACTAGGCTGTGATTTTTCACACAGAACAAAACTATTACCCTCAGCCTCCACATCCAGATTTTAAATTCCTGCCTATGTGAATGGCATAGAAATCGAGGTATACACTTAACTGTTCAATAAATCACTGAAACCCAAATTTCAGATTTGGGTTCATCTCTCATGCAGACTACAGGCATCTTCCTTGATGCCTGTAAAGAAAGACAAGGAAATCTACAGGGTCATGGAAGGAAAGCATGACAAGAAACAGGCCTTTCATTCTGGGTCTGGTTTCCCTGTCCTACTGATGGAGTCAGGAAATTTAAAGCACCAATGACAAAGCCAAAATTACACAGAGACCATATCTGTCCTCTAAAAAACCTCTCAAATAGGTACAAAGACAAAAATAAACTCTACCTTCCTTAGTACCAAAAAGAGGTATAACTTCTCCCATCTCATCCTTTCATCCCTACATTGAGTGAATGTCCCTCATATATAACTACCTGTCGAGTCCCACAAATAGTATAAATACCCAGTGAGGCCAAGCATTCTGGGGCGCTGCTTGACAAAGTTCCAGTGCCCTAGTAATCAAGTGTCCTGAAAGTCTGCTTGAGAAAGTTCCAGTGCCTGGATGCCTTGGGTTGGCCCTTTACCCCTGTGCTGGGTATTTTCCTACTGTTGAAGGACTCTCTCCAAATGCTAGACTTGGAATAATGTAGCAAAAGCTGGTGATAATAAAGAATAATAAAACTAATGATGGTTCCTTGGGGGAAAATGTTATTCAGAAAACTGAGTCTCCCATAGAACCTATTTAGATTTACTGTTAGATTATTAATAAATGATATTAGTAAGCATGAAATAGAGGATTTGATAAAAATTGTTAAAGAAGAAAAACTTCGGAAAATTTTGGAAGTTGACAAGCTCTAACTGAACCACTAGGCTTTCATGTTCAGCTTTAGAAACAAGAAACTAATTTGGACAGGAAAAGATTTTGATCATGCTAATATTGACAGACCTTGGTATCTTTCTAAAGGTAAAGTAAGGAAGTTTAGAAACCCTGATGTTCTATCCTTTACAATGTTTTTTGTTTGTTTGTTTGTTTGTTTTAGTAATAAAGATAGAAATTGTATTGAAACAAGGGTTCACGACAAAGTCACAGAGATAAACGTGTTGATTTAGTGAACCACCAACCTTCCTGAACAAATTTGTCAAGCCAGGTCTTTTCTGATATTATAAAAAGACAAAAGGACACACTGCCTTTGCTTAAGTAAAAAGGCTGTGCAATAGTTTAAGAACCCAAGGAAAGGATGATGGTTTATTTTAAAAATAAAAGAAATATAGGGGAAGAAAAGGAAGGATCACCTAAGGGTCAGGAAGATGAAACTTTTGAAGATAAGTTTGATGTAACAGGTGGAAGAAAATAATTTTTGATCTATTATTTATATGCTAACTTGAAGCGGAATGAAGCTCAAACAGAATTATTCTGTCTGGCAGTTTCATAACTGCAAGGCTTTATGACACAAATAAGAAAAAAAATTTGATTAAAAGAAAACTGATTTTATCATAATGTTAATTTTTAGTTCTTATGAGATTTGCTGTTTGCTCCCTTTGTTTCTTTTTTGAGTGTAAATAAAGCTTGCAAGAGACATAAGTTGTACGAGCAGATGAGGTCATACCAAGGTACGCCTCCTCTCAGTCCCATCTCTTATGAAAGGAAACTGAATCCCTTTGTCCCTCATCCCTCAATGCTCTTGCATCCACCCTCCTTCAGCCCTTTCCCTCACCTGGTGCTAGTCCCTGGCCGACACCAGTTGTAAAACCAGACAAGATTCTCCCCTGGGAAATCCAGAGCTACTGCTGGGTGTTGTTAGATCAGGGACCTGCCATGTAAA